ATGCATGTTGCTAACTCATTTTTGTTATTTGGTTATTATATTTAAAACCTCCACACTGCAGAGGCAGTGTCTAAGAGGTCTGTTCAAATGAATCGATTTCTAATCATGTGTAATCATGTTTTTATAGAGTTCCTTCCAAACTTTATATAACCCATTGTTTCTAAAAATTTTTTCTTCTTTTTTTTTTCTTTCATAACTATATAGAAGCAATTCTTTCAAAAGAATAGCAGCAAATTCTTTGAAAGGAACAATTAAGGGACATTGGAAAAGTTAACTATATACATTCTGCCATATTTTTTCTTTTTTAAAGATTCATTCAGAGTTTTCACAGGTGAAACTAAAAATAAATACTTCAGAGGAATATGTAAAGTATTAAATATGTGTCATTTTCAAATTTGATACAGGAAAAATGAACAAATCAAAACCAAAAACTACTCACCAACTTACTAAAATAGATCAGTTTCTAAAGGATCCGGAAACTGTTGAAGGAATAATGACATGTAATCTTGGAAGTTTCTAGATTTAAAAACTTGAGGTCTGGGGACTTTAAAGTTTAAATCACATTTAGTTTAGTGAGTTCTTAAAAAAATTGACGTTGTAACAGGACCCATTATCCAGCTGTTCTGTGGTCAAATCTGTCTCTTTATCCCAAAGCGAAAAATTTGCAAAAACATATTGACAGTTCGCTTTTATTCCATACTGATCAAATACCTTACTCTTAATTTTTAAAATGTAAAACAAGCAACACGTTTTAAAATCTTGGGTCAATTAATAATATATATGTTATAATTTCCAAATATTTCAAAATACTAAAATGCATGGATTTGTTGCTTTGCAGTTTTTAGTAACACAAAAGAAAGGGGGAAGGTGTGAATATAGCATCTTTGGGTTTAGGAAATGTGTTCAGCAAGTAAGCAGCCAGGAATATACCTTCATTTGTCATTGGCTTGGGCACTGGTGGGCTATAGAAAGCAAATGTCAGGTGTCATCTCAGAAGAGGCAAGAGATCTATACACATATCCAAACACAGCTTAATCCTAAAATGGTGTGGTTTTTCCCAGAAATATTAACTGAATTTAGGATCAGCATACCACCATATGATGCCATAAAATATTAGCAGTTTTGTTCTTTATATCATGCTATGTGATTCTTTTGAACAATAACAGCAAAGTATTTACTTTTCTTCTTAGGTGAAAATTAACATGTGGAAGCATGAGTGTGTGTATCATGGGTGTCAATTTGCACCGTAATATAATGTTAAAATAAGGCAGAATTTAGCGTAACTCCAGGGTTTAAATTGCAAAGCATTTTTAAATGGAGTGTTTAAATATTGGAGAACTTTAATTTTGAAATCCATTTGAAAGTAAAGATTTAGTGTGATTTACTATTTACTACTCAACTATAACTTGTTTAGTTGTTGCTTCTACTGAATGATTGTGAACCAACTGGAAAAGAATAAATTATATTCTTTGGAATAATTGTTCCAAAATAGACATTTAGAGGTTCTAGACATTGTTTCGAGGTCAAGTGAATAATCTGAATGACTTTTGTAGATTACACTTGGTTTTGACACAATATGGATGGCTACGGGATATGCTTTCTTCCTGGTGACTAAGATGATGGCAGCTGACCCTGGAGAGGTCCATTCATTACTTGGATGCTACCAAGAGTGCAGGGCTCCCCAAAACAAGACCTAACACAGAGACGGGGAGCAAAAAAAAAAGTGTGGGAGCACTGCTTGGTCACTAGACTCAACCACCTTATCACTGGAATAACTAAGGGAGAAAGATTAAAATAATTTTAGTCAGTGCACATTATGTGGAATTCACACTACTTCTTGCTATCTGTTAACTCAGGCATAGTCCTTACGTTTCCAATATCTACTCATTCACTGTTGCAAAGTGAAAAATAAGTTCTGTCCTAACAATGACAACAAAAACACCATCAGTTTGAAAATAAAAATTCTGGCCTCTTGATACACTGAATAGAAATACTATAGGAACAAACACGGGAAGATAACAACGGACAGGTACATTTTATTTCTACCTTCCGAACTCCTTCATTCCAAATTATTAGAGTTCTACAACACAAGTTTTCCCTTATCACACGGAGAGTCTGGCCAATAAATCCAAGTGAGAAAACTAATATCTGAATCACCAGGTTCAGGAAGCCAACTGAAAAAGTTGCTACATTAAGTTATCTGCAGACTGATCCACGATGGATGGCTACCCTGAATGTAAGCATTCCCTCAGCATGGTATTGCCAAGATTATGACATCACTCTTTGCTTTTTACTATTCATGTTACCACATGAATGTTCAATAGACACAGGACAAATAAAATGAGGGTCAGGGCTTCCCTCATTCTTAGAAGGATATTTTTCAATTATATATTTTGTTACATCTTAAGAGATAAAAGCTGTGTCTGCAAGTGATTAAAAGATGTTTTATATTCATGGTTTCATTTCTGCTGAAATAAATGCGTAATTTAAACCACACATAATTCCTAGCAATTTAGGCCCATTACAGAGTTCTAGCTTCTTTTTTATGATAGTTACTAATTAAAACAGAGTGTTGCTGCCACGTGGAGCCTGTGACTTCCACATACAGGTTTAATGAATAAAATGTCCTGACATAAAAATGAAAACAATAGAGACAAAGCTGCAAGCTGTTGTGTTTCTAGTGTATGGTAAAGATTAAGGACCTTCGCTGAAGTTAAGAATTATGCAGAGAAAACACTTGTTAATTTCGTTCTTTAAAGGAAGAATTAAAAGGATTTTTTAGTGAAATCTGAAATAGTCACTAATTTTTCTAACTTCTGGACCCCTCATTCCCAGCTGACTCCTTCTCCCAAAGAATTTAAACTCATCAGAGTCACTTTTAAAGGATAAATGATGGGATATTTTAATGTAATCCTGCATATAGGTTTAGATTGAAAATGGGAATTGGGACCATAATTAATTATGTTGCCAAGTTTTTTGAACTTTAAGGAGACAGACTGAGGCAAACGAGGGCATTTCATAAGACTGCAACCTTCTAAAAGTTCATGGGTTAAACTTTGGTAAAATGACAGTATCTTTTTGACATTTAATTAATTCCATATGCAGAATGAGTGTGAGGAATTAATACCCTTTTGGTGTATTCACTTTCTGAAACCACTGTAATAAAAGGCTGACACAAAATCAAAACCAAATATAAACAGGGTCTTCAGCTAGGGTACGGCCTTATTATCACACTTAATAAACAATAAATAATGATAAATACTGAGAGCCCTCAGTACACTCTGCTCTCGCATCCATCCATCACATCTTTCAGGATAATAAACAACAATTCAATCCCATCAAATCCTCAAAACCGCTCCCTCTGGAGGGATGTTTTATCTCTACTTCTGCCAGCCCAGGGAGGATTTTACTTGTTTAAAGGGGGCGGAGAATGGAGCGGGGGTCCTATTTATTTCCATTGACGACTCCCCTGGTTCTCACAGGCGCTCAGGGACCGGGTGGGAGGAAAAAAGGAGGAGGTGCGGAGATTCCCTCGTTCAGAAAAGAAAAAGGGTTCAGGAAGCGAGGCGAAAGAATGGGTGGGCGAGGGCGGTGGGGGGAAGAGGGTAGTGTGTTTGGAGAGGTCAGCGACTAAATGAAAAACTAAATTGTTTTTTGATATAGCAGGATAGAATGATGATGAGAAGTAGACAAATTAACCAGCCCAACTAAGTTGCTAAAAGGAACTATGTTAAAAAAAAAAAAAAAAAAATCAAACCCAGAGACATTTTCTCAGGTTCATTTCTCGCTCAAGGTCTTGGTTTCAGGGAGCTCCTTGTACCCAGAGCAGGAGATGGACAGCGCCCCGAAGGGGACCCGGAGGGGAACCGCGACCTGGCCCGAAGGACGGCTCAGCGCCCTTGCAGAGGTGCCCGCGGCAAACTCCAAGGGCCTCGGCGACCCGCGTGGACCTGGTGCTGGGGACTGCGGCGAATTCTCCAGCCCCGGGCGGGGGTACGGGGGGGAGGGGGCAGGAAGGGCGCACAATGAAACGAAACCGCACCCTAAATTCTGCAGTTTGCGAAGTGTCCCAGGAGCACAGCTGGGACCTGGAACCACTCGTTCGGATTCCTGAGTGTCGGGGCCGCGCCAACTCTCTGCTCGGTGGTACTGAAGGTAGCGCCAACTAGAGCGGACACCGACTGGTGCACAGACAGGGCTAGGGCACGACGCCCTGTCGGCTGGGTCTGGGGCGGGAGGGAAGGTCCCCTTGGTGGCTGCTCTGGTACCCCGGCAAAAGCAGGATCAGGTCCCGGGCCTCCCTGCCCAGCTCGAGGAAGTTTCTCTAACGATGCTCGCCTAGCACGCAGAGGACTAACGAGGAGCCAGAGCGGTGGGGGCTCGGTTGGCGGAAGGGGACCGAGATCTCAGAGCCCGGGCTGCGGGGCTGGGGGCCGCCCGCCAGGAAGCCGCTCCTGCCCTGCCCGCGGGCGAGCCCCAGGCGCAGTCCAGACCCCTCGCTTTTCGTCCCACACTCACACGCCTCCCAGGACCCAGTTCCGCAGACTTTCTCTAGAGAAGGGTAGAGGGCGTGAACCGGAGGGGGAGGCAGCAGCTCTCCCGGCAGGCGGGCAAAGTGAGTGTCCAGGCCAAGTCCGGGATAAAGGTTCTGTGGCTCCCGGGACTCCGCCGCGCCCTGGGCACCGGGAACCCAGTGTCCCCGGCCTGTGCACGGCCTCTCCACCTCTAACACCGTTTGCGCCGCCCAGCCACGAAGCCAGCGTGGAGAACCGAGGGAAACCTGCTCCACGCCCCTTAAGCCCTCGGCTCCTCCGGATCTGGTGCCCTCGGCCAGCGGTGACGGAGAACCTCCACTCGCTGGGCCCCTCTGACTTAGGGGACGCGCGCCTCCACCCCCATCCCAGATGAGCCCTCGGGTGTGAACACTCCCTGTGCCAGGTCTTGGGGTGGCGGGCTAAGGCGTCGGGGCGTCAGGAGTTTGCTTTCCTCTCGCTACTTACCTTACAAAAATCTGTTTGATTTTCCTGGGAGGGGGAGAGGAAAAATCCCTCCCCGAGGTGTGGTGTGCGAAACAGTCCACGTCCCCGGCACCGGCCAAGATGCTAAGCACCAGTACTCAGGAACCGAAGGGGCTGGGAGGCGGAGGAGGAGGCAGATAAAAGAGAAAAATTAAATCGGCCAAAGTGTCCCAACTTTGCCGTGGGCGCTGCAAACTTCAAAGGCGGGCGAGGCTGGCGGCGCGCGGCCGCCGAAGTTGCTGCGAAGTGGAGCGGGGAGAAGCGCGGGGCTGGGGGATCCCGGGACAGAGCGGGGAAGTGGCGGGAGGTCCTTTTAAAAGGCGGGGAGCGTGCGGGGGCTGGGCGGCGGGAGGATGCTGCCGAGCCCAGCGGGGCTGTCGCGGGCTCCGCGGGCGGCCGCTCGGGGCACCGGCGCCTGGCTGGAGTGCGACGCAAGGAGAGCCGGGCGCGCGGCGGCAGCGGGTGCGCGGCTCGGTTCGCTCCGCTCTCTCGCTGCTCCGAGCGGGGAGTGAGTGTTCGCTCCCGAGTGTCACTGCTGAAGCCCAGAGCCGCTCCCCCTCCCGCCCCACCGCCGCCCGCCCGCCCCCTCGCTCCTCTGCCCGGTGCCTCCCCCCTCAGCCCCTCCCTCCCTCCCGCTGCGCGCCACCGCGCGCGCGCGCGCAAACACACACACACACACACACACACACGCACGCACGACCCAGCGCTCCCCAAACAGGGACCCTCGCAGGCGGCATCGCAGGGGACACCCCACCGTCCTTACCGCCCCCCGTGTCGCGAGGAAGGAGAGGGAGGCCCACCGAGACCCCCTCAAAACCACAAAACCTAGGGAGAGGCGTACGCGGGGCCATCGCACCGTCAGAGAGACCGGGTGCACAATAAGGGGGAACTCTGGGGTTGATGGGTGGGTGGGGGGGTAGTGGAGAGACGAGCTAAATCCAGAAGGTTGGAGGCGGAAAGCTGAGTGCGCAAACTGTGCATTCATGTCCCACTTTTCACCCGACCGCCTGCCTACCACAGCCTTCACTCAGGGAGCGCTTCCCCCTCGGCGCACACCGAGCCTCCTCCGGTTTGAAACTCAGCAGCTGTTTTAACAATTGAAAAGCGGCCCTACAGGACCAGTGAGAGACGGAGCAGAGTGTGTGAAGCCATTAAGGCTGACTAGGTAATTATGATAAGAAGTTACCTAATTAGCAACCTGGCCAGGGCAGAGAAAAAAGGAGGGGGTGGGGGGGTGGGGAGGGGAGTGAGTGATTTAGTGATCTCATTTTCCCAAATGCGAACCTACTTTCCAGCAAACCTGGTTTTTATACTCTCGAATTTTAAGTTCTCAGAACATAGTTTATTAAGATACAGTGTCAGTATTGAAAGCGTGAAAAATACTTGCCCTCTTCTTATTGCCACCGAGAAACGGAGATAAATAAGATGAAAATCAGCCTTACCGAGGTCATATGAACAACTGTGGTCTTTTTGTTAAATACCTGGTCACAGGGGGCGGTGCAATGAGGCTCCCGAAGTTTTGCGGCTCCTAGGTGAGAATACTGCTGTAGATGGACTTATGAAACTGTTTATACTCCACAAAGTAGTTTTGTAAAAGCCATAGAATGTTTAGACGCTAAAAGAGATGTTGATACCACCGTGCAAGCTTGCTTATTTATTTATTTAGGATATGAGACAATGAGGTGGGAAAAGGGGATCTCTTGGGCTCTGCTCAGAAGATCTGGAGAAGTGACTCCAGCCCTTACTTAACAGATATGACCCAGAGCTGGTCCTTGGGCATTCATTAACAAACATTTATTAAGTGCCTACTGTGTACTATGTATATCTTTGTGCTGTGATTTCAAGGTAAGACATAGTGCGTGCGGACTTTAAGGAGCCTCCAGCCTGGTGGGGAGACAGAGGCATTAATGGAAGTAGAATTATCACTATAATAAACGTACCTGTTGGTTAGGACCTTTGGAAAGGAAACAGCTAATTCTTCTTTAGAAGGTACTCTTAATAGAGATTTTAGTGTAGAGTTCTGAAGGATGAGGAAGACAATGCAAGGCAGATAAGGATGGGGAAGGAAGGGCATTCCACAGAGAAAAGCAAGTGAAGAGGTTAGGAAAGTGTTAAAGTACTTGAGGTATGTCCTGGGAGCTGGGAGAAGGTAGGTGTGGTAGACTGCAGCTGGAAGTGAGCATGGCCAGGCCACACCAGACTCTACAAGCCCAAAGAGCCAAAACTCTCCTGAAGGTGGTGCATGGCTGGGAGACTATTCAGGGCTTTATGCAAGGACAGATTTTAAGGTTTCTAACTGTCATCCAATAAGAGTTTTAAAAAGTTTTGTCTGCTACTGTTGTGGAAGACAAATAGGAGAGAGATGGCAGTGAGGAGGTTATTTCCAGAGAAAAAGTTAGGGCTCAACTAAGGCAATGGAAGTACCAATTGGGAGGTTGGGACAGCTCTAGAGATATTTCAGAAATAGAACAGACAGGACCTCGTGGTTGATTGGATATGGAGGGTAATGGAGAAAAGGAGTAGTCTAGACTGACATGGAGGTTTCTGGTTGGGGCAAGAAGGCAGGAGATGGTGCTATTTGCCAAGAGAAACAACATATAGAGAGGAGCAGTTTGGGTAGGAATGTAATGAGTTCTGTTTTAAATTTCTTGAGTTGGGGCCGAATGTGGGATATCTGAGTGCAGCACCATTTAGGCTGTTGGAAGGAGTGCTCCTAAGAGAGAGGATCCAAGCTGGAGGGGCCATGAGGAATCATCAGCATTGAGGTATTTCTTAAAGCCAAGGAGAAGAAGAGGGCAGCCAGGAAGAGACTTAGGATGGAACATGGCAGAACACCAATGTTCCATCCATGTAAGAGTGGATGGAAGAAGAGGAGCCGGCAGAAGAAAGATATGGAGACCAGAGAACAAGATGGAAACTAGGGGAGAGCAAGATTGATGAAGCCAAGAGAGGAAGGGACTGTTGACCAGTACAGAATGTGGCAGAATGATCAAGGCAGTCAGACTGAGAAGCAACTGCTACTCCTTACAAATGTCTCAGTGATCTTCACCTAAGCAATTGTAGCTTATAGTATATGTGTGCCAAAGATCCAGATCATAGTAGGTAGAGAAGGTGGGACCATGGGGACAGAGAACACAAGCTCATTTTCCTAGCAGTTTGGTCTTGAGGGAAAGTAGAAAAAGTTACAAGAAAAGCACTTGTGTAGAGGTTGTACTTTTGTTTGCTTTTCTTATGTGAGACGCATGGTCTTAATTGCATGACACTGAGGGAAAAGCAAGTAGAAAGGGAAAGGCCGAGAAGTCTACGGAGTTCTCTGAGGGTCAGTTCCCTCCTCAGTATGGATAGGGCACCCTCCCTGGCCCGTGAATCTCACAGAGTTAGTGGGGAGTTTGAATAAACCAGAAATTGAGATAGTACTTTAAAATTGCCATTAGGAAGAAACGGAGTCCAAAATGTGTGAAAGTGACTTATCATTAATGCAGACAATTCATGACAGACCAAATCTATGTGACAAGTTCTATAAGAACTCTGTAAAGGATATTTTTATGAAAGTTCCTAAAAATATTTCTGTTTTGAACATCAGGATTTGCATATATCAATATATCTGTCTTCTCGAAAAATATATATGTATTAAATATCTTCAGACTTGGGTGATGTGCCGTATTAGATAGAACATGCATTATTTAGTCAGACAGACTTGTATTTGATTCTAGACTCAGGTAATTATTTGCTATGGGGTAAATAGGTTAGCCTCACCGAGCTTCAGTGTTTTGTTTTGTTTTTTCAAGTATAAAAATGGAACAAATTATAGCTGATTTACAGGTGTTTTGTGAGGATGAGGTAGTATGCCATATTGAAGTGTTTGGCAGAGATTTAGTTATTATTTCTGAGATTACTTTTAATTATGAAATTTATTGTTATTTAATTGGGGGAAAAAACCCAAAATGATTATAAAATTAAGAATATAACTAAAGTCTGTGTGAGAGAACTCTTCGTTCAAGCCTGTGTCTTAAAGTAGCAATCCTCAAAGTATGGTTCATAAGCCCTTTGGGGATTCCTGAGACCCTTTCAGGGAGTTCTGCAAGGCCAAAGCTATTATTATGTTAATTCTAAGATGTTAATTTTCTTTTTTTTACTATGTTGACATTTGCACTAATAGGCACAAAAGCAACGGCTGAGTAAAACTGCTAGCACCTTAGCATGGGTCAGGGCAGTGGAACCAAACTGTCCTAGCATTTGTAGTCTCCCCTGTCACAAATGTCACTTGCACTTAAAAATGTCTTTGATGAAGCAGTAAAACTTGTTCATTTCATTAAGTTTAAACCCTTGACTCTGTCCTTTTACTATTCTCTGTGGCAAAATGGAAGGCACACATAAAATTCTTCCGCGGCATCCCAAAGCACAGTGTTAGTCTTGAATTAAAACCCTTGGGTAATTGGGTTGTGAGCTAAACTAGCTGCTTTTTTTCATGAGACATATTTTTACTTGAAAGAGCAACTGACAGACAAGCTATGGTTATTTACACTTGGATGTTTTGCAAATATTTTTTTCCGAACAAATTAAGTGAGCCTGTCACTTCAAGGTAAACAACTGGAAGTATTTATTTTCAGTGAAAAATGTGGGCTTTCAAGTAAAAAACAGAGAATTTAGAAAACTTGTCTCTGCCACCATGAGCTTGGTAGATTTCCTATATTCAAAGTCTTTTGTATTAAGATTGTGATCATTTTAATTAATGTGTTTTTGGTATTGTAAAACGAAAAGTATTGACATTTGGAATATCTTCATGACTCAGTGAACCAGTATTTTCCAAATGACCAATGATGGATGATGTTATAAAATCATTCATGAGTTAAAAGATCCATTCAAAGTACAAGATAGATCAAAGAATTTTAATATAATGGAGTATGAAAATTTAGCTGACAGTTTCATATTCCACACTGAAATTAGAAAGTTTAAGAAACTACCACTTGTTGAATTTTGGTGTAGCATCAAAGAAGAATATCCAGAATTATTAAAAGTGTTACTAAAATGCTGCTTCGTTTTCCAACTACATATCTGTGTGAAATGGGATATTCTTCATCTACTTCAAACAAAACAACATACTGCAATACAGATTGAATATAGAAGTGATATGAGAATCCAGCTGTCTTCTACTAAGCCAGACACTAAAGAGACTTGCAAAAATGTAAAACAATGCCACTTTTCTCACTAAATTATTTTCTTTGGAAAATATAGTTATTTCCAGAAAAAAAAATGTTAACATGTAGCAGATACACCACAGTTACTTTAAAATAAATCTATGAATATTTTAAAATTTTATGTTTAAATTTCTAACATAATGAATACTGATAGCAATAACCCACATAAACCAAAGTTCCTTGGGTTCCTCAATAATTTCAAGACTGTAAAGTGTTCCTGAGAACCACTATCATATGGTATAGGCTCAATCATGAAAATAGATTGAAACATTATCAATAGACTGAACGATGATTGTTGGAAAGATCAAAT